AGTCAAGTGGGGTTAAATCTGCCGATCGTGGGGGTCCTTAATCGACCCTCCGCCATTTTTTGGATCTGAATTATGGAATAAGATACTGTGGTGCCATCTGTTGAATGTAGACCACACTAGGTTCCCCTCATAAAAACAACACACAGAGAATTATGATAAGGTTAACTAACTAACTAACTAACTAACTAGATGGCTTACCGAACCCGAAGGTTCATCACCGAATTAACCAAAGCCCTCCACCGGACCCTGTCCTGATAAGGTTAATATTCCGAATTATAATGTGTAAATTTTTTTGGGTGTTCTCACTGCGTTGTGAAAACAGTCTCCTGGGTTGTTACGCCTGGTAAGTTTCTGGCTATATGCCAACGCTTTGGAGGAATATTCTGCCACAGTTGTTACGATTGAAGTGAGTGATTTAGGTAGATGTTATATAGGATTGAGAGGGAAAGTCCGCCTGTTTCAGCGCTGAAGATGGTGACAGTAGGTTCCTCCAAAGAGCTGGCATGTAGTCAAGAGACTACACTGTGCAACCATTCCAGAATAACTCAAACCGTATTGTGTTCCGAATGTTTATGCCAAAGTGAAATGTGAAAGAGAACAAGTATTTTAACCTTTACTTTTGAAGCACTTCAACAAAAACGAAACAAGCTCAGTAAAGAAATGGTAAATTAATAACTTTTTTGCATAGTACCGGTACTTATTTTCCAGTTCTTTGTTCCTGGCTTGCCAACCACCACGATTTCGAATTCATTATTCATATTGAGATTTTAATTTTACATAGTTTCGAAAAAGTAAGTTATGAAACATATGCCAGGGTCTGCTGATAAAACAGTCAATGAGCTGGAAAATGATAGAATGGACTAAGGAAATAAAATAAATTGAGTGCAGATTATGAAACTAAGAACTTATTGTAATTTTACAATTAAATGAAATGTTCACTCATTACTGTGGCAGTACTGATAAGAGGATGGGACATTTCATTGCAGCATTACATTTTGTGGCATCACAATGAAGAATTACGTGGAAGCTAACATCTCTCACAAATCTCATACGACTGTCAAGTACGCGATGAAGATGTTGAGCAGTTCCTCGGAGACCATCATCTTCATGTTCCTGGGTGTGGCCACTATCAACAACACCCATGAATGGAACCTCTGGTTCATTGTACTCACCATCACCTTCTGTTCTGTATACCGCACCATAGGTGAGCCCTTTTCTTTTTCATCAGGTGAAGACCTAATACAAGTTATATATTTCTTTGTGACAGAAAATTTCATGGTCACACCACGCTGTATCAGATAATGACAGTTTAATTTTATTTTATTAAACATCAGCATCATACAAGTTGTAGATCTAAATTTTATTTTATACTGGGATACTTGGAACGACCCATTCTTCAAGTGCCTGAGCACTGCGGGTCCCAACCTTTTGTTGACTTGATCTATAGACATTCGGTAGAACTCCTTGGACGAGGGATCGGCCCGTCGCAATTCCTCTACCTGTACACAGGACAGCACAACACAGAAAAACGCAGACAAACATCAATGGCTTGAGTGGGATTCAAACCCACGGTCCCAGCGACCAAGCGGCACAAGGCCCACGCCTCAGGCCACGCGGCCACTGCAGACCCCTTATTTTATGCTAGAGGAAAATATCCTTTGAAATTCAACTGGAATTACTCTTTTGCAGAACATCATCTCTTATCCCTTTTCTTCCTTTTGTATCTGTATCACCTTTCCTACTTTTTCATGTATTCTGTTCCTATTCCTTTCAGCTTGAACAACAATGAGAATCCATGTGTTATTTTAATGTTTTTGTCATTTATATTAGAAGTACTTCTAAAAGTTGTTTAATGATAATAGCACTTTGAAATAGAACATTTTCCCATCTGGTATCTTTTATGAGAACTTTAGGCCTCTGTGAATCAACCAAACATACATGAAACAAGTAAAAGCGTAGGGAGTGGTAGCAGATAAGGAAGCATATACTGTCTGTACTACAAACATTATTTCCCAGTGGCAGTAGCTCACTGTCTCAGTTCCTATTTGGCAATGAATATGGTTTACATAGTACATTTGTTTGTTTTTCTTCTACTCGCAAGATAGTGATATAGGTGAAATTGACAGTCTGGTTCTGGCTACTGTAAAATGACCTATCTAACACAAATCATCATTTAACTTTACTCCAGTTGATTTTAATGACATAACCTAAAAACCAGTAGTTGAGGCATTGTTAAGGAAACGTGTATATTTTTAATACTTTTTAAAACTTACTTTTTCTGAAAAGTTTCTGAAACCTTACTAAATTGTTGTTTTGACCCAACATCTGGATGAATTGGCCCCTGTAAGTTTTGTTTAACAATCTGAACATTGATAAAGGAGGGTGATGAAGCAGTTTAATCACTTGTGTTTTAGGTTACTGTCTGCTGTCTATTCAGTCACTGTTACACATATCATATTTCTTACATTCAAAATTAAATTCTTCAAGTATTGTTACATACATTACATGGACATCAACAAAATGTAGCGTGATAGACATCCACTCTTTGTGTGAGAATTTGGTGCACTAATGTGAATGTATTGGATGTCTAAGCCCACTCAACAGCAACCCAATAAGAGAATAATAGAAAATGTCCATTATATCTGGACAGGTTGCTTTGTGTGGATCTCCGCTGTATTGTAGATCTTCTAAACACATGTCTTGTGGTAAAGTTTGTTACAACAGAAGAGCAGCTATGTCAGTTATATCTCATTTCATTTTTATTTATGATAATCTGTTGTCTGGTTCTGTGGAAGATAATAATCATGTCTGTAAATTTTGTATAAACCTGTTTTTGGTACTTAAATGCAATAACATGGTGAGAGCATGATTCCCAGTAGTGACATATGCCACTTCTATGGCAATTTCAAAATAAATCTATCAGTTCATAAGAATTCAAGTTCTGAATTTGTGCCTTCTTTGTATTTCCTGCAGGAGTTATTCTGCTAACAGCTATTGCAAATCGTTTCCGATTGCATAAGCTGAACAAAGTTGAGAAATTTGTTATGTCGTATGGTGGTCTGCGAGGAGCAGTTGCCTTTGCTCTTGTACTGCTGATAGACAAGAACAATGTAAAGCTTCAACCGATGTTCGTCAGTACAACGATATCTGTTATCTACTTCACTGTCTTCTTCCAGGTAAGCTAATGAAAGTATAGCACACTTGTAGCAAAACTTTGAAATACACAGAACTCTATGTAAAGAGGCTGAATCATAGAATAGTAGCTGTTTTGGGTTTAGAGGCCCTTCAGTAGTTGTGCTTATTTGCTCCTGAGATCTAGATGGCAACATCGTATAGGAATAATTTATGATGATGTGAAATGCACTACCACCATTTAATTACAGTCATTAAATTATGTGTAGTTGAGGCAGTGTAGTTTTTAAAATGTAAAACAATAACATGGTGGTAATAAAAAATGTTAATTTAGCTGTCAGTTTGACAGTGATAACCAAGAGAAGAGACGAAATGCATTTCAAAATACTCATTTACCATGCCAGAAATAAGCAAAAGAATACTTTGCACCTTATAAATATATGGCCTCACAGTTTAGGTCATACTGCCCCCGTCATAATCGTAATGATGACGGAGGCAGTATGACCTCTGAAACGTTGATAAACATCTACCATACTACACGGTGCAACAACCCAGGAGACAGAAATCCTCATAGTCACCGCTGTGAAAACCTCAAATCCCTTATATTATGAGGTTTGCGATCCATATTTCTAAAATGAATTAATCATGTAGCGAAAGAACAGTCTGATTAAAACTAGTTTGATAAAATTTTATTTATTTTTTACTTGTATTTGAGTCACTATACATAGCCTGTAAGCCAAGTGCTTTGGAGCAGCACCAAATGTGGTTGTACTTATTTTCAGGGAATAACCATCAAGCCTCTAGTCAAAGTCCTGAATGTAAAGAGAGCTGAAAAAAGAAAACCAACAATGAATGAAAGAATTCATGAAAGGGTGAGTGTTTAAGTGTTGAATTTCTCGATATTCACCAGTTTCCATCATACTTATGTAGTGAAGTACATTGTAAAGTGTCTTTTTTATCATTTTTCCCTCTAGTTCATGGACCACTTAATGGCAGGAATTGAGGACATCTTAGGTCGCCATGGCAATTATCATGTGCGAGACAAGTAAGTTACAATTTAGTTTCTGCTCCTGAAACTACAGTAAGCACCACTGATAGCCAAGAGCTGTTGAAATAATTATGTGAATCAGGTTTTCTGAAATTTGAATCATTGAAAGCAATTTTGGAATTGTACGGTTTTCTGTATTCTGCAGAAATTAATGTGCAGTAAAGAAATATACAGGAACTTTGTTTAACAGTGGAATAAGAGATACAGAATTGCAACTATAGACCCTATATGAGCCTGTCAATCTGGTTCGTCTCATTTCACTAAAATACGTGATTCTTTTGTTTTCAATGAAGTCTCCAAAATGGCTACTTTCTAAGAAGATTTTCCTAGTTTTGTAATGAGAAATGCATGCAATAAATTAAATACATATTCTAGAATGATGTTAAGTATATTTACTTTATTTTATTAATTTTTATGTTCTTTGTGCTGTATGCATAAAATTAACACATTTAGGTCTGACAATGTCTGTCTGTCAGCATGATTCAACTCATGAACCACTGGATGGATTTGGAGGAAATTTGGTGTGGACATAATGCCATTGAAGGCTATCTTGAACTAGTACTTTTTAATTTCCTACAATTAATGCTACCAGTAAGGTAGATGAATGAATTTGCGAGATGGTACATGGTTATAGATCATAAAACGTGCATATGTTTTATGTAGTAATTCTCTGTATAATGTAAGGCAACAACAAGGTGGCTGCATAAAGCAATAGAAAATGTTGATGGCTGTTTTCTGTGTAGTATGGTAGACGTTTACTAGTGTTCCATCATCCTGATACGTCTACCAGACTACATGGTGCTACAACCCAGAAAACAGCCATCTTTATACTGATTGCCATGAGAACCTCAAATCCTATTTAATGAAACTTGTTGGTCTTGATCATCATTCGATCCTGTAACCACCTACGTACATTTGAGTCCACTGTGCTATCACATAACTAACTTGATTGTGTTATGCTCTTATTGATTTAGATTACCTAAAGTTGACAATAAGTACACATGATCTCTAAAGTTAGAAATTTAAATTGTTTAAGTAAGGAAACTCACATTATTTTATTAATAACTGTTGTTTAAAATTAACAGATTAAGAGACATTTCAATACATCATATAATATACATTACATTATTTATCAGATTGTAATACAAGATCAAGATTCTTTGATTCTATGCTGTTGTTACAAAAGTCTGTTTTTGATAAACATGTGAATTAGTAGAGAAGAAAGAACACCATTTGAAACATCTATCCACTTAGTTATAGTAGTACGAAGTATGTGCATTAGATTGCAATTTGCTTGTTTCTTTTGTGAATAAGAAAATGAGTAGATATGAGTAAATTAATACATTTTATGTTGAAGAAATATGCTAATATTTTTACATTATCTGCTGTGCTTATGCAGATGATACAGTAAAGCAGTGTATATATGATATAATATTTTTTTTACATCAACAAAGAGCATTTGGAATTTAAAAGTTGCAAAGAATGCATGTGGAAATTCTGTGTATTCTGATATGAATTACATCTTTCGAGTCTTATTAATGTTTTCTCTGAGGAATGTTGCTTCAGTGTGGGGTTTTTCCTCTTTTAAAATGTTTAAAATTATCCTGTGCAGTTTATCATGAGATACAGAAGTTTAGCTAGTTGATGGCCAGAAGTATAAGCTTCATTTCCAATTCTTAGTGAATTTAAATATAGAATAATGATAGAATATCTTAGTGTGTTCAGCCGTTGCTAAAGAGCAGTGTAGTCTGACATATAAAGCAATCTTTCATCACAATTTATGTTTTTGTATACATTCTTCTTATTAATATTCATAACCTAGTGACATCATTACACTCATAACAAATTAATACATCTGTACATCAGAATAAATATCAAACAGTTGAAACAGATTGTTACCAGTATTTTCTATAGAAGTGGTTAAAGCTTGTAACCACAATTCAAGAGCGAGCACTGACAGCATTTAGTTTATATGCTCGTGTTGTGATTATTATTTAGTTGAATACTATCTTAAAATTTATTGTAAATATTTCTATTGCTGATTCTGTTAATTTTGCCTGTATTAATTTTAGCATTCATTAATACATGTGTCTGTGTCTGTCTATTTCGCACTGTTACAAGTACATCTGTCCATCTTGTTATTTTTCTTGCCTCATCCACAGAAGTTTAATCAGAGAATGTATATGTAGCTTGTACATATGTGGTGAAGTTCAGTGCAGTACTGGAATAAGTGCATATACTTCTGGGTCAGTCACTACAGTTCTGATGGGTTAATCAAAATTTGTATTACATATTTCAGGTTCAAGAGGTTTGACAACAGGTTCATCCGTCCATTGCTGCTGCGTGATCACCAGGGAGCAGAGCCTAAAATTCTGGAGACTTACTCAAAACTAGCAATGAAAGATGCAATGGAATATATGCGAAGGAATGCATCTACTATTGGAAACATATCTGGCACCGAGTCCATGTCAGCTATCTTCCGCAATTACACAGCAGGCAATATCAATGGGAACTTGAGTGGTACCCTTAATGGGAGGTTAGTACAGCTTTGTATTTTGTTCTTCTAAAATTAAATGTGACTTTAAGTCACTGGCAGGCCTGTTCTTAGGATGACATTCCAACTTTTATTTTGACTGGTGTGCTATTGGTAAGATGTATGAAGTCTGATGGATGAAACTTGGAAATTGTATACTTATATATATTTCTTACTGTTTAAATTAAAATTATGTCCAGTATAGAATGTGATGAAAATATCAAAGCGTCATTTCAGTATGTATGTTAAATAGATGAAGACGGTGATCTTCTGGGTCGTAGCACCATGCAGTCTGGTAGAAATTTATTAACGTTTTAGAGGTGCTTCTGAAATGTTACTAAACTTATACCATAGTACAGAGTGCTACAACCCAGACCTTCACACTTGCTGCTGTGAGAACTTAAAAATCATAATTAATTAACAGATGTGTACTAAAGCCAGTCAGCTGATGAGTCTTATAAAGGTTTGCTGTTTACTTCTTTGTGATGTTTGCTGGTTTATCATTGTAACTTAAAAATGTGTACTGTATACTTGCAGCACTAGTTTCAGCCAATTGGACTCAAGCACATGGAACATAGACATGCAGGAGTTGGAGTACAACCCGTCCAAGAAAGATTTGACAGATGCTAAGATTCATCATCTACTTGCAGAAGAGCTGTGTAAACCCTATCGCAGGGTAAGAGAAGTATGTTTGTGCAAAGCACTCTTTCACTAACTTACCTTTATCATAATAGTGAAACTTTGGTTTGGGATTTAGCTTTGGTGTTAATGGTTTAGCTGGTTGCTGTTGTGACACATTGCCAGCTGGGCTTTACATTAGTCATGACAGATGGCCAATAAAAATTAATCTCTTCCAGAGTCTGCACTGCAGCAACTATCAGACCCATATTGTGCTTTCCTTGAAGCAATGTAACACATTACCCATGTCCTTGACTAATTTGAATCACTGGACATTGTTTTCTTTACCAGTTTTAACTTATTTTTTCCATTCTTCATTATTGCTTGTCACATACTTTTGGCCAGCATTTGGCTACGTTTGTATTCCATGTCTTACCATCCTACTTTATTTATGATTTTGATTGTAGAGCAAATCTTATGTCATAGCTTTTAAAATTCAGAAGACTAATATATGTAGTGCTATGAATGGGTATTAGCACCTTGTGTGACCAGTTACTCTCATAACTATGCATATTAAAATATAATTGATTTATTAATGAATTGTTGATGTTTTTATAATTCTAAAGCACCGGAGGTTGAGCTACAGTCGGCATGCAGTCAACGACCGGGATCTTTCTACTCAGCCTGTCAATTATCGCATGCATATGAATATACGGCGAATGGTTGGTGAAAGGAAGCACCACCATAAACGAAGCAAAAGATTGGGCAAGGTAAAAATAGTAGTACATCTGCACTTATAAGCATGTTACAAATAAATTGAGTTTAAAATATTCAGAAAATATGGCACATATTTCTAGCTTAATATTTTTAGTGAAAGAGTTAATACTGTACCATTATTCAACTATATGAATGCATGATAAATAAATTTATGAGATTTTGTAAAAGAAACATTTTCTTTAAATTTTAGGAAGTGTTGTCACCTTCAAAACAAATTATTTTCTAAGTTTATTCATGCACTCCAGCTCTGTACTATGCCTGGAAAAACTGTCAAACACAATTTTAAAAAGTACTTACAGTACTCAGTTCTCTAAAAATCTTCAAATGTTTCAAAGTGGTTCCTGTTGTACGATAGTTTTCCCTTTTTTAACATGACGTAGTCATATGGCCCAGGCAGGTGAGTATAGTGATTGTTCTAACATTAGTATTTGTCTCTTGGCCAAAAATTGGATTTCCAGAATGCTATGTGGAAAGGGACATTGTCACAATACAAAATCCATTTGACCAGCCAAAATATTAGTCTTTATTGACAAATATGCTACTGTAAATTTTCCAAACATTATAATTAAAATGAGATCCCCCACCCTTTTTTATTTTTAGGAGCAAATTTATAACAGATGATTGTTCCAATGTGAGGAAAGCATAACAGTGTGATGTAAACCTTGAATTTTTAAATTTTAGCTTTTTTCAGCTTGAGACTCTTGGATTTTTCTGTTGGAGACTTCAGAGTTTTGTTTTTGGGTCTCATTGAAAGATTGCAGTCTTGTCACCAGTCATTTTTTGTTTTGATGATGGGTTTTGTCTCTTGTTAAAAGGCCTAAGCAAATATGTCCTTCCCCCAAATATTTTAATATGATTTTGGCACAGACTTACAGATTTTTTCTTATTCAGATCTTCAGTTATAATCAGTTTTAGTATTCCTGCAATTTTTTTCTTCAGAAGTGTCAAGCAACATTTATTCCTCATAATTCCAGTCACTTTTCCCACATTTGGATCAATTATTGAAGTTATCAAGTATCCTCATCTTTTATCGTCTCTATTCCAAGTTTTCCTATTTGCTTAACCTATAAGAAAATCTGTGTTCTGGCTTTTGTTAGTCCTTCTCCTTAAAATAACCGTAATAGCTTGAAAATGTCAGCTGTTAATGTTCTGCCAGGGTTTGGACTGAACTATTGGATCAAGTTAACTCATGAATTTATCAAAAATAAACAAATGTCTTTTCAGTTACTGTTACAGTATTTTAGGACATCTTGCTGGGAGGAGGAGGATTTATAATACAGAAATGTTGAGCACAGTGGATGTGAGATAGAAGCAGTTGCACAGTATTAGTCAGTGTTAAGTACACTGTTGGTATTCATGTTGTTGCTTTAAGTTTCAGTATTGTTTCTTTCATTATGTCCCCCTTCCCAGTTTTATTGCACCTCAGAATTACTGATACCTGAAAAGGTTAGCATTTATAGCAGTTAATTGATTAAATAAAAACTGGAGACAAAAATTAAGGCTTTTCTGACACATATAATTTTCTTTGTCATTTCTTTTTACAGGATGGGAAACAAAATCATGTTAGTTTCCCTGGAATCACACAGAATGGTTCAGCAAAACAATTTTCTCATGGTGAGTTATCAAGTATTGTTTTTGATTGAGAATAATTAGAAAATTTATGATCCATATTCCTTGTTCAACATTTACCATAGTCCCTACTTTCCTTCCACTGCTTGTAACCTTCTACATAAATACCTTATTGCACATAAATGCAATAAATTTTGTATGCATTGTTTATCTATGTCTTTGTATTAATGTCTGTGAGACCTCTGTTTGGTAAGTTATCATTTGTTTCACGTAAAACTGTCTGATCAGAATCCATTTTAATTTTCTGATATTTCATGCATATTGTTTTATTTGTTACATAATCCTAAGATTGTAAATATATATCCTGTAATCTTAATATAAGCAATATGATATTAGGTGAATCATATTGTATTAAATTCATGTAAACAAGAACTAACTAGTGCAATGTATTGCATGCTCTTTAAAGTGTGATGTGTTTAACCTCTTCAGATTATATCAATGAAGTCCTCCAGGAGTCAGAAAATGATGGTGATGGCACCAAGTCCACTAGCAGGGAGGACTGGGACAGTGCCATTACCTTTACAGCCAAAACTTCACGTAAGTGGTATTGCATCATTGCTATCATGTGTCTTGGTAGTTTTCTTTTCTTGCAGACACAGTTATATGCTTTTAAGTTTCTTGTCTCCTAGTATATGCTTGGGAACTTAATTTTCTAATCTCTCTCACTCTTCTAGTAGCATCAGGCTTTGAGTAATATTCCTGTGTAAATATATCAAAGATTGCTTGTGAATTTGGGTGTTTTAATTCTATTTATTGTTGACTGAATACATTGTACTGTTATTTATATGATATTGGTATACTTTTATGTATAATATGCAGATTTTTGTGTTTCTAATATGTTACATTGTCTTTAAATCTATAAATAAGCTTTCTATATAACATATTATGTTTGTTGCATATGTTTCTGGAAATACCCTAATTCTGTCTAAATTAGTTTGTCCCAGGCAGAACTAGTACACATAATGTAGCCTAACCTAACTATATTCCTAACAGCAACAGAATTTTCTAGTTGTACCTAGGACAAACTAGTTTAGATGGATTTTGGGTATTTCCAGTAACACATATACTGAATAATATCAACTTATTCTAGTTTGTGTTATGTTTTTATCACAGTAGAAATAACTTATACATTAAATGGATTGTGGTTGTTTCGTTGTTATGCTGCTTTCGCTATTATTGAAACAAGTAAAATAGTTGTAAAAGGAGTTACCTAATGCATTTTTTATGAATAACATGAAGTCCAGTTCAGTCAGGTTATGATAATTATTAAGTTACTTCTTTTGTGATACTTCGTTGGCTCACTTCATTTTGTTTAATCATCTAATCAGCTGAAAATTATGCTCTTATGGGGTGTAGAAGTTGTCAAAGCCCCTGGTTTGTGCATATGTGCATTTTCACGTTGCAGGCATGGTTCATATCCCATATGGTACTTGTGTGGAATCCAGCTGCAAGTTTTGGCTGCAGAATGTAGAATTTAATAGTACTTATGATGGAAATCACTTGATAAACCCTACCACAGCGATGTTTTGAAGGTTCCCTTTGGGACATTTTGCGTAATGTTAGATTAAAACTTGATACTGAAGTAATCAAAGTACAAAGGTTTGCAATCAGCCCACTGCTTTCTTTGTGCACTCAACTTCAGAATAAAGGAGTTTGGTGTTTATACTTGTAGTTGTATACTGAACTGGGTGTGGAGCAATCCCAGGAAAGTGCTTTTGTTATTTGTGTGTCTAACTTCCATACATTTGGTTCAGTTTATTGCATTAATACAGTGTGCAGTGGTATGATAAGTTAAGGATTATGTATGCAGATATTTATTTTTAATTGCCTATGTTATTAATATTCTTCTGTATTATATTTGATATGGCATGTTCTGTGCAGGAAGTTTCAGTCATGTTTGGGTTGTTTTTCAATGTGTGTGAGTCACTGGAATCTTAATGCTAGATGGAGCACTTGTATGGAAATTATATACTTGCAACTGTTGTCCAACAGTTGTCCATACAATTTTGTGTTTTTAACCAAGAAAACAATTAATTTAGCATGAAACATAAACAAGTCTGTTACCAGTCAAATTAATTGGAAGGGATAGAAATTCAGAGGACTCCTCTGGCAGTAATGTGCATGTGTGTTAATTCATTGTTCATGGATTACATTTAGAATCTGAACACGATCAACTACAGATCATAAGAGATGACATTAAGTCTCATTACATAGCAAGATACTTATATCTGTAGTTTTTAAACTCCTTCATTACACTGCAAATGTAATTGTCAAGTTACAGTTTTCAGTGCAGATTTTATCTTCTTGATTATATCAGTGTAATGAACTGAGCAAATGAAATGGAAAATCCAGTATTCTAAATGCCGATTTAGCAGTAGTTCCCAATTTCTAAACATGGGCCTTATTTTTAAATATTAGCAATAATTTGGTATTTTGACATCATTGGTGTCATCAGAATGTTATTTATGAAGCATTTATCAGGAGGCTTCAAAAGAGTAAATAATTTATCAATGGCACAAATTTTAACCTTCTTAAGAGTGCAGTGAAGTATTAGTGTGGTACAGAACCTTGTTGTACAGCTTTCTTGATAACATTTAAACTATAACAAACAGATGTGTGTTTGTCATTCCCAATGTACTAACTCCTCTGCTTGCTAGTAAGAAACAAACTGGAATCCTGAGTTTTGGTTTTTTGCTTGTTTTTCTTTTGTGTGTCACTCTCTGGGATTAGCTGGCGGGAGACCAGAGGCAAGTGTGTTGACCCAAATAACCAGCCTCCCGGGTTCCAAACCCCGGAAAGCCCGTCTGATCAAGCAGTATTCAAAACCCACCGTTGATTACGATGATGCGCCCACAGTAGCTGAAGTTTCCTTACCTTGGAGACGAGGTGTAAATGGGGGTACGTTGAACTCTCCGTTCCATTCACATAAAGTAGTACATTCACTTTGTTTTTACATTTGTTATTAGGTAAAACTTCCCAGTTTTATTTTTTATCAATGGAAAAATGCAATATAAGAAGTTAGCAGTTTTGTAAAGGGCATGTGGTAGCATAGAAAAAATCTACCATAAGCACTGCGAAAGACTATACTGTGATCTGAATGTATTGTTTAATTACCAATGACAGTTTGGAACAAAACTTTCTGAAATATACTTTTATGCACTGTAAATGAAATAAGGAGCATGACTGGACAAACCATTTTATAACAACATTCAGCTAGAACTTTGATTATCTTCAATCTGTTTATTGAAATTCAAATAAATGGTAGAATTTACTGTTCCAAAATAAGTGACAATGAGATTCCCATACTTCTGATTCAGGCTGTAAGTATAACCAATTATTGCTTTAACAGTACAGTTTCATGATGCCCTTTACTTTTTCTTTTGGGTATAAAAGTGCAGTTTCTCCATTCATTCTGTTTGTCTACATGAATTTTCTGAGATTTTATTATCTAATAATTTCTGAAAATTGGAAGCTAGATGCCTTGTAGTTTTCTACAGATTCCTTTTTTAAAGTTGCCTTTGCCTATTCCATATCTGTTTCTAAATTTAAATCTAGATTCTAATTTTTATAGTTTGTCCAGTCAGGTTTTACCCCTTTTACCTAAAAAAGACATTTCAAGTCTGGTAGGCATTTCTGCATGGACAGCATTCCTTACAAAGCACTTGTGGGTTATTTACAAGAAGCATGCAGAGTTTTATTTCCTAGCATGTATGCTGTGATAATGTTTTGTGGAAGTAAGGTTGCTTGCTACATGATATTCTTCTTAAAAGTATAAAAGTATGTTAACAGCATGGAGTATTAATATGATAATAGTTAGTGCTGGAAGATATATGCCATAGACCAAGGCCTAATTTAATATAGTGATTACTCTTATAGTAATGGAATTGTGTTTTCGTGAGTACTTTGAAATAGTCTATAATTTAAAGAAGAAATCTTTAATGTGATTCTTGTATCAAAAGTCTAACAGTTAAGTTAATTACCACGAGAACCTGAAACATCATCTGAAAATAACAAAAATATTTGCTTATAATCCAGTTTTATAAAGAAAAATGGATGCCGGGAAATTACTTCCAGGAATAATGCTGTTGTAATACATGTTAAAAGGCCTTAGTATGAACTAACGTTTCTACAGAATTAATCTCAACATACTATTTTAAAACTTAACTGTGCTATAAGTTAGTGCTGGATTTTTAGATAGTATTAGACTGCCAGTCCTTGTCACAGGTTGTTAGAACTTGCATTAAATGTGGAGATGTTTGGTGTCATGGTTACTTATGAACTTCCTACTTGTTGCTTTAACATGTGTTCCTTCTAGTTAACTCTCTTAGGTTTTCATTTGAATGTAAATATTTTTGTACATATTTACCTTTTTATAGTATCATATTTGTGTAATGATCTTTATTTAGTTGTTTTATTAATTACTTTCTTCTAATTTATTATAGCACCAGAATATGCGCTGTATGTAATTATGCTACCAATTGAACTGCAGTGGTTCTTCAGTATATTACAAAGATTATACATGCAAGCTATAATATTTCTTTAACTATAAATATGGTTATAATTGGACGTGTTTGAATTTTGACAAAGCTGCCATGAGTTAACAACATCAAATCTGAAATTCAGGGTAATACTGATTAAGACATATTCCAGAAATTTTTTTAACTGTGAATTTTGATGATTTTTCATAAGTGATCAGATGCATGATGATGATAAAACAATTTAAAGAGTGCAAATATAAGAGTCTTTATTCTTTGTGACAATTAAATTTAAAGAAGTTAGGATAGGCTTACACATAATGTAACAGTTCTGATGTACTCCTGTATTATTGCTGCTGGATTTTCAGTTTGTAAGTGCTCGCTTATAAGTGGCATAATTAGTTGTAACGGGCTCTTTGCTCTATGAAACCATGACCTTATGGGCTCAGTGTTCTTTGCATGGGCAGGGCATCTGGCACCTGCCTGGCTGAGTGATGATGTCATTATTTCATGAAGTTAGCTGCTATCCTGTGACTTCAATTATCAGGAATTATTTTCTGGAAGAAGTTCTTTGGAAAATGTCAACTGATAAATGTTTCTGGTGTACCACAATACTGGGGATTGCAAGGTGTATAAGTATTTATTTGGTATGAACATCTGTGGCAATCTTATCAAAAGAAGTCTACATGAACCATGTATCAAAGCACATGGGAACTGTCTTATGTCAGCTTGTTGAGAATAGGTCCAAGAAGAGAAAACGTTTAGGTAGTAGAGGGGCTGGTTTTCTGATGGAAAATGCCATAAATATTTCTGTCTGTGGCTTTTTTCTATAATAAACTCTTAACAGAATTATAAAATTTTTAGCCTTTCCATTTCTTTCATTTATCTTATTTTGGATCTTGAATTTCTCTCTACTGTGCTTCCCAATTACACAAATTTATCTACTTCTTTCATCTACATTCCTTTATTTTTTACTTTGGTTTTTCTCATTTTCTTCTGGCTTCTGTGAATTTATTTCCAGTCCACATTTCTTGTTCTTTATTTCCCAGTGGCTTAAACTTGTTTCAAGTTCTTTCACATCTTCTCTTCATATTATGAAGCTGAGATTAGCTTCTTACGATGGACCAAACTGATCAGGTTATATAGTTTCACGTGATGATGGAGGTAGAGTCACTTCCAAAATGTGGGTTTTTGAACTTATAGATTAAAAGGTCCATTAATATACATCAGTATAATGAAATGCCTTTGTTAAAAACCTTCAGACTAGAGTTAAATAGGTTGCAATGATAATACCACAGCATGTATATGTTAATTATGTCTTGACAGATGAAACACAAGCCTCTGGTAGTAGTGAAGCAACCAAGAAATCCTCTCGGGAATTGGATGGCTGTGAGTACCATTCACATGTTAATTTTTAATCATAACATTACTGAATCGAGCTTCATAATCATTGTAGATCTATAATTTTATAATACCTGGCCTGAGGTGTGCTCAATCAGGGACCCAACAGGTAAGTTTCTATCTTCTTCTTTTTACCTGAAGGTAGAAGCAGAATTCAGCTTCTGAGATGTTGTAGTTTATGATTTTTTAATTTAGACAATGAACAAAATCTAAAAGAACAGTTTTGCATGTTATGCATGTACATCTCATGTAATGATTTTATGATGAACCAAGATTTGTGTGTTGCAGGTTTATGAATTACTGGAAGCTAAGTAACAAATGATTGGTTTGCATTTGTCATTGTGTAATTTTATATATGCAAGAGCATTGTGAATATGTTTGAGCAATTAGTGTGCAAGTCAGTATTGAAATAATATGCTTTCTGCAGCAACAGGAAAAAATACAGGAACAGCAGAGTGTGCACGAGTGACTACTCCAACTGCAACTGAAACAATGTTACCGTGGAAAAGGGATGATGAGGGGGAAAGCACATGCCCGCTGAAACAGAGTGAATTTCCTGCTTGGTGTTCTAATAAGGAGTATCTTGCCTATAGCTCACCCTCAGCAACTTTCTTAGGTAACTGAAGTAACATGTCTTCATTCTTCCATTTTATAAGAGGAGAGAAGTAAAAAACAAGTAGAGTAGGATTTGAGGTTTTCATGGCGGTGAGTCTGAAGATTGCTGTCTTCAGGGTTGTTGCACTGTGTAGTTTGGTAGATGTCCACCAACGTTTCAGAGGTCATGCTGCCTCCATCATCAGGGCGATCATAGCCCTGATCATGGAGGCAGAAGACAGCAATCTTCAAGAAAAACTAGAGTAAGGATATGAAAAGCAATTTCTCATCTACTACAGAAAAGAGTATTGGAAAATGGCTTTCTTTATTGTTTTTGAGTAATCATAATATATTTTACAGCAGTAAAGGATTAACCCATTAGAGGGCCTGTAAGCTTAATTGGAACGATACTTCATAATTACATGTTTTCTTCTGAATTTAGTTCATGAATTTGTTTTGTTTTGCTAGGTGGCATTGAACAACCAAAAATTGCTTCTGTGATTGGATTGTTCCGTCGTGAGAGTTCAGGCTCAGCACAAGACTCACGTGCCAGTTCAGATTCTTCATTGCATCATGTTGGTGGTCCTGAGTCTCCTCCAGCTCCAGGAGCAATTTTGCTCATTGAAGAAGGAGGTCCATCAGAGCCATTAGCAGGTATGTTGGGCGTACCTAGACGTCCACCAGTCGGCCGCCGTGGCTCCATGTTAGAGCTAGGATCCACAACTGTTAACTCCATTCCTGAGGAGGAATCTACAACACCCTTCACTTCACCTCAGAATTCCCCCATGTCAGCCCAGCAATGGATACCACTTGGAAAGGGCTCAGGATCACTCAACCACTTTGCTGATCGCCTCTCAGCTCTAGTATCCTCATCTTCCTCGTCTTCTTCATCTGATGATTCGTCTAATGACGATGATGAAGCTGATGAGAAATGTGCTATCAATAGAACACAGAATTAATTTCTGTAATAAAATAAATACAAGCACAAAGTCTTGAAGGAAAAGTGTGATTCAGGGACTGATGCTCTACAGTGGGTTAAAAATTGACAGAGGTGTGTAGATTGACTTGGAAATTGTAATGGTTAACTATTAATTTTATAGTAGTAGCTGACTGTAATTTCATTAATTGTAATACCAGTGAAGCCTAACAATGTCTAACAGCTTGAATTGATTAGGAGATTCTGGATTGTCTTGTGTTATATCAGAGAAACCAGAGATGAGAATTTTCTGGCTAGACTTGTAAATGTGTTACTGGCAAGCTGCACAACAAAACAAACATTTGTAAATAGGTGAGTAGACTAGTTGTCCTTCATAAGATATTGAACATTTCTAGAGAGTTTAGATGAAACTTTGGCAGACAATAGAAACTTAATTTTCTTTTTGTTTATGTACAGAATTTATTTCCCATTATAACACTTGGCTGGAAACTGTTTATTGCCATGGCAATAAGAATAACCACAAAAAGAAACGTGCATAATGAAGAGCTTCATAAATAGATTACTATTTTGTGGATCAGTGTCTTCTATAATGGTTTTCTTCACACTCACCACCAAATGAAACCTGAAATCTCATTTATCATTTACGTCATCTATAAAAATATAGTAATGCCTAATAGTAAGTTTCAAACACTTTATGAATGTTCTAGTTGCTCTGATAAAACAACATTCTTATTGCTTTGGCTAGTTAAAATATGGTTAAACCTATACTAAAATCTATGTAGTTATACATCTAAAGGTGCATATTTGAATGATAAGAAGCCAGGAGATGCTGTATTGCCTTGCTTTCCAGCTTTGCTTTAGAATATACCTTTATGAATATCCAAGCAAACCATAAAGAACTGGAAGTGAAAGAACAGATCTCCTCATAGACAGGATGATAATATTTGTAGAGAAGTTGAAAGTGAGGAAGTGGACTGGATTTACCTGACTCAGGGAAGTGGTCAATGGTGGGCTCTTACATACATAAGTTCAATAAATACAGGAAATTTTACTATCTGATCTACATTTAGCTTCTCAGCAACTCTGCTCTAGGATTTTCTTATGAGGAGCCAACATTTGGCAACATCTTCCCCTGTATTCTCCCTGTTCTACTTATTACTTCTAAGAACAATTTAGATATTTTGATAAAACATGCAGATTGTGATAATTGTTTTATGTTTCAGAGCTGTGAATGAAAATTACCTTTGCTTTTATGTATTGGAAAAGCATCGCATGTGAAACATTAGCTTCGTCCTCCTTTGTCATACTGAAAATTAAGATTATGAACCATTACAGTTTCTTAGTTCCAGTGACAGTTGATACAGTTTTAAGAAAGATGTTAATAATGGTCAATAAGTATTTGGTGCACAAAGCACAAACTGTTCATTAAATGCTGAAAATGGAGTTCAGGGCTGGCAGTTTTATTGTAATAATTTTAAAAGCAGTATTTTATGAGTCTAATAGTATATTATTTTATTTAACATTTATTGAACTTCTAATTGCATTTTGGTGAAAGATACATATGGGGGGGCACAGTTAATATTAAAGTATATTTTTGTTATTATTATTATTATTAGTAGTAGTAGTAGTAGTAGTAGGAAATCTGAAGGCACATTTTACACTAGTTGTAGTTTAAGATGGTAAGTAGGCCTTCAGATTAGTGTAGGTTGTGAGAGTTCAGATTAAACAACAGAGTAATGTACTTCCATTTCTGGTTTAATGATATATTGTAGATTAATTGACACTATTGTAAGTGATCATCATTGTGATATAGGTAGGATATATAATGGAGCAATTAGAGTTCTGGTCTTTTATCAACAATCTGTAACATATTGGTGCCTAGTAACGTACGCAGTCTTTGATCTTTGTCGTTACGATACACTCTTCATAAGAAGAGAAAGAAAGTATTTGCAAGAATTTTATTAATCAGTTGTTTTTATTATAAACTGTATCAACTGACAAAATTAGCCATACTACATAATACAGCACAGGTTGATGAATGTGAAGACTTTGTACAGCAAACTGTTGGTGGTAGATGAGTTCCTAGGGTGTGTAATCTTAGTGTGAGGTTTTGTTTATTCCAGAAGGAATGAAATATAATATCATCACTTCTGAATGAGTCGCATTATTCTAAAAGAAAACAAAAAATTTTCTTCAATAAAATATTTTTTGTATAACAGACCATAGAACAGTGATCTCCTGGTCATAATAACAGTATTTCTGGCTTATTGGTTTGTCAGCATGCACTAGCCAAATACCCAATATTATCAGTATACCATATGCAGGCCTACCATCTATTAGATGGCAGCATAAATTATGATAAGAGATAAGTTCATGTATGATGGTATGAGTGACTGGCAGATTCTTTGCAGGTGACATAATGATTGTTGAAAACAGGCAGATGGGAGCAGAATCTTTCTACAAACCAAGTCACAGCTGGTTTATAGGTGCCCTTCATATGGACCCATCGACAGTGACAGGTCTTACACAATCTTGCTTTACTGTATTCTTCTCTGTCTCCCATGTCAAAAACATATTTTTATATTTTTAATAAATAATCTATTTAATTACTCCCATATATTTTTCATACATCAGAAAAATTACATTTACTCTTAAAATATTTCAAACATATAACTCATTATATTGTCATTTTATTTTTTCTTTACATTCCTTCAGAAAATTGTAGGTATCCTGTGAACAATGTTTTTATTATTTGTGATTACAGTCCACAATTCTTTTAAAATTCTAATCGTTTAAGGAAAGCTGAAAGGAAAGTCAAACCATTCCAACAGTGGGTTCCAACAGTGGAGTTGACTCGTGTGGACAGACAGACATGACCAGCCCATAAGATGTTTCTTACTTATGCTAGGGTGTGAGGAACACATAAGACATTTAAATTTCTTGAACAAATATAAAGATATTCAAGTTGTAATATTATATGCCTGTTACTGTAGAAAAGGACATGTTTTATAAACCATCACAAGGAAGGAACTATAAGGATGTGGTTTCCCATATTTTGGCTTGTATTTGATGAAATATGCTTGTCAGGAAATAGTAGATGAGAATATCACCTTCTGTAATTTATGTACAACTGACTGTGGAAATTTTTCTTTCTTTCTTTGTTGTGTCTCGATTGTTCCATGAATGTGTAAGAATACATTGGACACACCTAGGACTCTGTTGCTTTATAATCTGCCCCAAACAGTTTGGCTTTTATTGAATGTGCCTATACATTTAAAAAAATAGGTATCTGACTTTGTACTTAATTAGCATTGCCAACATGTGTATATTTTGTGATGAGAGACAATATTATTATAATATACTGTACTTTAAACAGACAGTTTCTGTGATGAAAAGGGGTAAGTTTTCAAAACAGTGGGGAAGTATAATGTTCATAAAACATAATAGTGTGCATTGTGTGGAAGTGTGAGTAATTGCTGTTCTGTTGGAAGAAAGTGTTGTGTAGTACTTAAGAAGGAAACAGTCCTCTAACATAAACAGGGTGAAAATCCCACTGAACTGGCAGGGGAAGGCAGGATCAGGTATATATACAGTGGCTTGTTACACTGAACTTGTTTCTTATACTGGCAGATTTATAATGAGGGGGATGTGACAGCAGAAACTGCAGTATTTCCAGAGCACTTGCCATTAGGTTGTGTCTGTTGCACAGAAACCTGAAGCTATTATAGAATTTAAGCTCTGCATTGGCAGCTTCAGACATGCTATTCCACATCTTAGTACTTATATTGTTTTGGTACTGTTGTTTGAAGCTTATAGTATGTCATCACAAGACAATATTAGTGTTATGTCAAGGTCATTTAGTATTTTCCAAGGTATTATAATGTTGCAGGTTTGCTTGCTTCACAATTTATAGAGAAAATATGCAGGCTAGGGTGACCATTATATTAGAAAGATTCTGATGTCAATGCAAGTTTAAAGTAACTGTTAAAATTTTGCCATAATGAAAGCAACAATTCTTTTCAATTTTCCCACTCTACAAGCTTATTTATGAATATTTCAGATTATGTTTTTGGAGAGGAAAGATGTTTTATACTTACTATTTTGTGCAATTTCATCAAGATTCTGTACATACAGACCTAAATTCATGCAAATAATGTGTACATTAAATCTTTCATTTGAAAACTTTATTTAGAAAAAAGAATTATTGAAAGGCTTCTCATTTTCCTGTTACATGAGGCAGAAAGCACTATGACTTTATGCTTCTTGGTAATGGCATGTGTACGTGTAAATCATTTATATGATAAGCCCCAACAAGTTAAAGCTGGCAGACATGGCAGCTGCTAGAACTTCTTTGGCCCTTTTTTTATTTTTCTGCCTTGATTTCATAACAGTATCATAAGGACCTGCAGTTTTAAAAGCTAGCATATAACAGGCCATCTGTTATCTAATTATAAATATTAATATATAAACAACAAAATTGTACCTGTTGTTTTGTGTGGGTGTGATACCTGGTCTCTTGTGTTAAGGGAAAAACACATATAGAGGATGTTTTTGAACAGGAAACTAAGGAGAATATTTATACCTCTGAGTATAACTGTTCCATTTAATTAGTTAGCATGTGACAAGTCATATTAATCGGGGACATTTCATGCTTGTTATTGCTTCATATTAAGGGGGATAAAATTATTTTAGGAGTTTAAATATTTCCCATTTAATGCTCATTTGGGTGATTTTAGCACAGACTGGATTGCACTCATTATGACTGGCAATTGTTACAGTGAATTAGATAGGACTTGACAGTAATTTGTGGCTGTCTACAAAGGAGGTAATGTAGCCCAAAAACTATTAAAAAAACGTAATAATATAAATTAGCATTTGCACAGATTTGTCCCTACTAGTTGCTAAAAATGAAATTGCCACAGACAAGACTAAAATGTTTTAGTTTCTGATAAAAACTGATTTTCTATGGAAGATCTTTATGGGCAAGAGATATTTTCTAAGTAGTTGCCCAGTCATATAGTATCCTTGCATACTATTGCATTCTGTGTGGCAAGATTTCATAATAATCTCCATTTTCAATTGAAACTTGCCAAAATATAGTGTATTTGCAATTAATGTTGTCTATTATGAACTTAGCTCTGAAAGAATCTGAAATTAGAATGGTGAACAGTTGTCCAAAGTATCATAAAATAATCAGTTATTCAAGTTAGAGATTCCATATCTTCAGAAGATATATAGAATATTTCATTAAGTTGTAAGATTTCTGGTTCTTACAGCAGCAAATATCTGTGTAGTCTCTCAGCAATAAATCAACTTTTCAGAGGTACTTACTGTCTCCACAGTCAGAGCAGTTTAATGCCCTAATGATACAGGCAGTAAACAACTCTGAAATGTCAGTCAATTTCTGAATCTCCCTGATGATGGAGGCAGTAATCACACCTGAAACCTTGGTAAATTTTTGTGAGGTTATAAGGCACAGCATCCCAGAAGACAGTCATCTTCATTTCATTTACTTATTAGGAAATGCAAGGTTATGGTGCTGTCTACCTCACATTCCCAAAATGTGCTTTCAGAAATCAGTATGATGCAAATGAATGTTTTCCTATGCTATTCAATCCAGCAAGGCTAAATATATAAAAGAATCTTAACTATATATAAATTAAATTTGGAAAGGTTATGTTCAGACAACATTCAGGTAAGAAAATGTTCATACAGTACTTCATGCATCAATATCTTCAGTTTCAGATAAGCCTGAACATTAATTTGCAGTTGAATCAGCTGTATATTTAATTTTCACATTCAACAGTATGTATGGTGTCACCAACTTGGCATCAAGACACCAGAGATTTCAGTTTGCCTGAGAAACTGAGTATTGAGAGATGTGTGAGTTTGTCATTTTGAGTCAAACCAAGTAATAAGACAATCTTGTTCAACACACTGAGATTTCCTAACTGTACCATAATTTTCCATTACAAAAATTTGTTTGTGTGCCTTATGCAGTGCATTAGTTGTCAGTGTTAATGTTTTGCACTTCCACTCCCACCTATTAGTCAGTAATTAAAAAGTAAGTGCATAAGATTATAGAGTACATATTTCAGATCAGAATTAATATTAGACATACTGTAATTTTAAAAATATTACAGCATAAATATTTTTTTTATTTATTGGGTGAAAAACAAATATAAAGAAAAAAGGAGCTTTATTAGATGTTGGTAAAGTACTTGATCTAGAAGTAAACAGAAAAAATGAAGTACGTGCTCATGTCTTGAGACTAGACTATAGGACAGGATAAAAGTAGCCAATAAATCCTTGAAAATGAGGCACATAATTGGAAACAATATAAACAAATCAGAAATGCATTCACAATGAAATTAAGCACAGACTGGATTCAGCTGCCATGTAGTTCAAAATCTTTTGTCTTCCCACCTGCTATATAAAAATGTAAGAATAAAAATCTATAACTTTACCCGTTGTTTTGAATGGAAGGGAAACCTGATATGTCATATTAATGGAAGAACACTGTTTGAGAACAGGGTGCTAAGAGAATATTTTGACCTAAGAGGGATTAAGTAGTGGGAGGCTGGAGAAAATTGCAAACTGAAGTCAATAGATTTTCTCTTTACCAAATATTAGTAGGGTGGACAAATTAAGGATGAAGAGATGAGTGAGGCATATATACCACATGGGGGTGATGATAAATTCATACAAAATTTTAGTAGGAAAGGCTGGAAGACCTAGGCATAGGCAGGAGGATATATTAAAATGGATCTTAGGAAAATCATAATTGGTAGTGTGGATGGCAGGCTCTTGTGTGCATCATAATGAATCTTCAGGTTTCATAAAATATGTATAATTTCTTGATTAGATGAGTTTACTATTAGCTTCTCAAGAACTCTGCACCTTAGGAGTCAGTTACATTGTGTCTTCCTGTTAATTACAGACCTGCATAGGTTTCAATATATGCACAGTCTCAAGCTTTTATCCATAGCTGTAAAATGTTCCCTCAGCAGAACATTACACACACTGTTGTGCTTATACTGCAAATCTTCATATCATGTTCTACACTTGTCATGCTCTTAACTAGGGGCCAGTGACAGCTTATCTTTGTCTTGAGTGGGACTAGTTCAACATTATATGTGCCTAAGTGACTCATTTATAGTGCTGTCAGTAAATGCTGCTCAAATTAATCATGTATAATAGAGTATGTGTTCAGATACAAGTTCATCTCCTAATGAATAATGCCAAATATGTCAAGTACTAGCAATCATTGCAAGTAGTAGGCACATGTTAAACAGAAAACATAATAGTGAGTGGAAGAGGCAACAATATTATCCAACAGCATGTTAAACAGAAACAACCAAAGTATGTGGATAAGGCTTCAGTAGTAATCATAAATGTGAATAATATCTGAAAACTTCAGTATAATGCTTGTTACTAATCATTTATAATAAACTAAAGTTGTGGTTGAATACAAATAGGCCCATCTTGTGTTATATATTATCCCATACAATTACCCAGTGCATTTCAGTAAGGGAATTGTGGATTTAAATTAAATGTTTATACTTTCTCCATTTCACACATTCGTATTTAAAGGTTGAATAAGTTCCTCTGCAATAGCAAGATCATTAAATTAATAATGAATACCGCCAGATAGTTTGTAGTAATTTCAAATCGCAACACACTGTGTAACGTCATATACCGACTACGTTGCAAACTTAGAAAATAGATTTGGATGTTCGTATTCTTTTTACGGCACGGCCATTAGTTTGTTGACAAGAATAAGCATGCGCATGAATTCGATTCCGTTTACTACCACTGAAGTGATGATAATGGATACGTTTGCTGCTTTGACCAAGGTAATCTATGCTTCGGACGTAGTCGTGAAAGAACCATGGAACTGTTGTATTGACAGTATGTGTGTAATCCTTGGTGTGTGAGAACTGTGGTTGATCATGGCGGAAACAAAATGGAGATGTGAGAATCTAATCTGCTTTTTCAAGATGCATTATGATGAATTATATTATTAGCCACTCAGTTATGTATCCTGGTAAGTTATGAAACCGAAATCATATATATGGAAATTGTTTCTTGCAAAACTTCTAATTAATTTATTTTTATATTCGGTACAAATTTAATGTGAAGAATCTCAAATTTATTATTGATAGAAACATAGCATGTTATTAACAAGTAATTTAATTTCTACGTTTTAATTAATTGGCAGAATTTGATGAATGAGGTGGAGGTACCAGAGGGTTCGGTGTTTACATACCGACTCTCCAATGGAACTCATGTTTTGATTCACCAATCGTCCATCGAGCAAAGCAAAGGAACAGAAGAAGTGGATTGTGATGAAGAAGTGCCACTGTTGTTTTTGGAGGATGGACAGATCACCTGTAATGGTATTGAAGTAACTGTACCATTAATATGTGATATATATTATCATGTATTTTCTTTGCTGCTGTTTGAAAGCATAAATGAATGCAAACCTATTTACGTTTTGTATGATTTTGGTCGCTTGTAGATAACAATTTTAACCTGCATTCATTTTATTCAAAAGACCTTGATATTTGATAAATAGGGTATGCGTAGCATTATGTATGACACACTTAAATATGAAAAAGAAAATTATATTAGCATGTTAGAAAATATCAAGGTATTTATAATGTAGCCCAACACATCATTTACATGCACATAAATATTACTGAGTTATCTAAAAACATTTAAGCTGGTCTAAGCTAATTTAGCTATACTGATACATCTTAATGTATGAAAACTGCTTAAACCAAAGTTGTTTTCAGTAAATGGTGAACATTTTTTCTTGTGTTGACATTGGTGAATAAAACCATGTGAGATGTGATGAGACATGAGTGGAATGAAAGCCTCATGTCAAAAGTATATGATATCACAGGAGTTAGTGCATACATCAGTACTCACATCTGTCTGTTTATTGAATTTTTGGGAGGAAATATTTTATTATATAATTGGTACAAGATGAGTTAATGAAGTACTAATTCACACTCTGTTTAACAACTCTGGTTCATCCACCAAGGTTATTGATGTTATGTGGCATCTTATATTATTTGTGAGGAAGTGGATACCTGGATGTAGGATAAAATGACCAAAGCAAGGGCCTTGTCAGTCATTCAGTTCATGATGTGGTTTTTGTATTCAGGGGCAATGTTATCAGTCCCAGTATGTAACATTAAAGTAGAGATAAATATGGTGAATTAATTTGAAACGGCTGTAACAGACGATTGTGTGAAGTGGTCTATCTCCTAAGGTGTTGTGATGTGTGGTCTGGTAGAAGTATACCAACATTTTTGAGGTTCTTGCTGCCTTCATAATGAGGGCAGTGATTACTCTGGTGATGGAGGCAACAAGCACCCCTTGAAATAGAGGTAAATCTGTGCCAGGCCACATGGCACAACGTAACAGAAGACAGTCATCTTATACAGACTGTTATAAGTTGGAATGGTAGTTTGGTCTTCACAGATATCATTTCATTTATACTAACTGTTGTGGTAATAGGTACTGAGATCCTGCAGACACAATTCTTGGATCAGACATCAGAGACCAGCAGTTTTCTTCTGCCTGACACATCCCTTGAGGCTACAGTTGTCAAGACTGAACAACCTAAAGGAAAGAGAAAGGAGACAGTGGCAAGTGGTCCACAGGTGAGGCAAATGCTTTGAGGTATAGGTGTCCAGTTCATCTATAGGCTTGTTAATATGCAGACAGCAGACAACTTCTTACCTTGCTACAAATTTATTCATGTAACTGAAATTATTCTGTTTTACAAAAGAGCCTTGAAATGCTTTTGTGCAGACCTTGCATGTTGTCTTGACTTCATGAGTTATAGGCATCAGGGCAATGAATAATCACCTTGATGGTGGAGGCAGTAGGCACCTCTGAAATCTTGGTGAACTTCTACCAGACTACATAGTGCAGCAACCTAAAAGACAGCCATCTTCCTGTATTTGCTTTCACCACTGCACTGAAAATTATCTTGAAGAGAACTAGATAATTCTTCCATAATTCTTCCATACATCTTTATAAACTTTGTGATAAATTTAGTGATAATATTACTTAGAATGGAAGGTACAAGTATGTAACAGAATGTAAACTGCTGGCTATTTTTAGTTGAGGAGCTTAGTTACCTCAGTCAGCATTGACTGACTACGAACTGGATGAGCAGGGTTTGATCCCCGACAGGTAGAGCATTTTTCCTCTAGGCTCTGCATCCAGACTGGCTTAGGGGCTTACCAATCCTCCTGTCCAATGGATACCAGGCCCTTTTCCTGGTGGTAACGGGTGGCCGGGGTGTGACGATGACCACTCACTGCCGATGTTAAGAATGAGTAGGAGCTGTACCTTCACCCAAGCGCCTACATGGCATGTAGCAGGACAGCTTTACTTCTCTTATCTACAAAAGTTTTGAAACTATGCTATAAATATAGCCTTACAGTGTAAGAGGCACATGTTTCTTTGTGTGCAGGGTGCCATAGCAACACATATTCAAATGTTTGCAGAAACACTGTATGCCACTGTCTACTATCCTATATATATATAGTAGAAGTTTTTTATTTTCATGTATTAATTATTTCTGTACTTTGATAACTGATACTTGTATTTGGGTATGTGAAGTCTAGCTGGTATTGATTGTCAGTCTTCTTCAAAACAAGAACAAAGATGATGTCTTAATTTTAAGCATTTTTAATAACAGCATAACACTTACTTAAAATTCTGCTGGAAGGTTTCAAACTCACGCTTCATTTTTGTTAATTTCTGTTAACTGTACACTGAGATAAGTTTTAACTTATCATTGAAGACTGTTAAAAATTTCTTTTTTATGATCAGCATCTCCATTTCTTTTGCATGTAGTTCCTTTATTAATGTACTGTGTACAATAAATTTCAGGTTCTCTTCAGAAATTTTCGTAATTAGTAGCACGAGTTATTCTGCTACAGAAGCAATGGTTACAGCCAACATTTTCTTGAATGAAATTAGCATTTATTATAACAGACTTCTAAACTTTACTCTTTTGAGTATGTCAAGGGTTATCAGTATTTTAAGGCCTGGGGCCACTTTTTCACTTTATCAGCTCATGGGCTGCTGGGTTATAAATGAGGGTAACGTATTGAAATTTCATGAGATTATTATTGAATTGCTAGGAAATCAGGTTCACATCATATATTTATTTAACATATATGTTTATTTGTTATTTTTATAAACTCCGCATCAAATTAAAAATTTAAATTTGGAACTTTTTCCATTGTACATAATTGTACTGTATAACAAAAATTTTTTGTGGACCACACAAAATGTATCAGCATAATTTTTAGAGGTTGGATATAACTGGTGTGAGATATGTGTTGATATTGTACTCTGGTGATTTCAGTGGACCCTTTATGTAGTTCACACAATCTTTGAATATTGTGTGTAGACAAAACCTTATTCTAATATGGTTTGACATAATTTACTGATATATGTTGATCTTACCATGTAATTCAGTTTGTAGGTGAGTCAAACAACCAGCCGAAAAGTGTCGAAGATGAGAAAGTTTTGCGACAGGAGAGTGTGACGTTGGATAAATTGGAAGATTTTGTAGAGCTAGTGACATCATATAAATGTCGCATTTGTCCTTTTACAACACCTGACCAGCAGGAACTACTGCAGCACTTCAGGTTTCAACACATGCAGGTTAGGATTACTGGAAAACTACACATAGCTGCAGTTCAAATGTAATTTAACAAAGTTTTGTGAAGTTAGTGTTTTAGATCTGACACTGTAAGTACGCTAGCAGTTAGTACATGAAGTATATGAAACAATACTGTGAGAATGTTGTTACACATAGCATCTCCACATATTTTACAAAAAATATTGTACTTTTCTCCCACTGATGTCACATGGGACCACATTTTTCTTGAACATGGTTATCTGTGAAGAGGTAAAGATTTTCCACATTGATATAGTCGGTGAAACTGTAGAATTTGCCACTTGCCCTTATAACCCTTGTAGGTACTATAATCCTGGCCTTTCTCTTATTGACATTTTTTTCTGTTTCAAAGACCCGTTTGAAAAAATTACAAATGACTGTCCTGTTCTTTTCCTCCTTTTTACCTTAAGGTAAAAGCAGAATGCAGTTTTCAAAACACTCATTATATGTCTTAGATGATATGGACAAAGTCCAAAAGAAGATTTGTATACATGGTTATTGATATTCAGGATCCATAAAAGTTTATTTCTTGACCAGTTTAGTTACTGTTAATGTCTCAAGAAGGACTGTGCTCCATGTAGTTAGTTCTAGTGTGAATGCACAGCCTTCAATAGGAATACATATATCAGCAAAAGAAAATAATTTATTCTACAACTATGATTTCTTAGTTGTTTGGATTCACATCCTTTAGGAATTTCTGCACCATCTGAGGGTTTTTTTCAGTAGTTTGCATTTTCTTTCATGTTGATTTCCAGTATTACTTATAGTTTTTATTACTTATGTGCTTCTGTTATACAGTGAAACCACTTAAGGTTAACAGCTTCTCATCTTAAACATTAAAATAATTGGTTGCATTTTTCTCCCATGTGATATTTGTATATTTTGCCCTTCCAATACATTTTTTATTTAAAAGGATTCTCCACTTTAATGTGCATAATGAACTCCATGGAACT